CCAAATAAACAAAATTGAAAAGAGGGAAATGATAAATTATAAATTCTAAATTAACGGACCGATCTAGGATGAAAAAATGAAGTAGAATGTGTCACAAGGTAAAATTCAACTATTTGTGCTGACGTACTTGCTGCGTCGTCACTGGTATTATTCACTTCACTAAAAATGTCTTGTGACTCCTCTTCGTCACTGTCGGGTATAGTGAAATTCATTTCGCTCTTTTGTTTAACGGAATTTGTTACGATTTCCCTCGTGAATTTTGGCTTTTGGTGGCAAACTATAGTTCAGCCGCACGAGCTATAGTGTAAGAGGGACTCACTTCACGTCTTACTTAACAGGCCATGGCCCGTAAATCGTGAAATCGGGGCTAGTTTTTACTTACCGGCCCATGGCCTGGTAAATCCCACTTACGGGTTCTAAAACACACCACGAAAACGCCACTTAACGGGCATGAATGACAAAAAATAACTTTTCTGTACTGCTTCTCACGATTTCTCGTCTGGAAATTGGTATGCATACTTCCCAAACTCGAAAACTTGAAAATCACTACAAAAAAATCTTGGCCCGGGCTGCTGCGATGGGGTTTTTTTACTCGTGTGGTTGGCCAGACCTCGCCTTCGGCTCGGACTCCAACGCCACACGAGTAAAAAACCCCATCGCAGCAGCCCGGAAAAATACTATTACACCAAAACCCAAAGTTTGAGTTGAAGTTGAGCATTTATTATAGTGGTTCTCTCTTCACGACTTTAGGGCACAGACTAATCTTTGGCAAAGAAGACCTCAAGTACCATGTGTTTCTTTCCATGGCGTCCTGTGACGTCATCTGCAGCATAGACAACTGCATACAGAATGCACGCCAACACGACTTATACAAAGAGATAACTAGACTCAATTTCTTAAGAATTAAAGGATTATTTTGCTCATTTCAGTAGAATCACTTAACAGCCTGAAAAATCTTCAGCTCGATTCAGGAAAAATATAAAATGACCGATTTCGAGAGTTGTTCAAGTTTATTCATTAAATTAATAGATACCATTCATTGAATATATAAAGTTATGGAATAATCATGTGTAAAATATGATTTCTGGAATTTGTCCGTCTTCAATGGATGTGCCATTGTTATCACCGGCAGCAAAACTGAACTGAAACTTGACTTTTCCTTTATCAGAATCACAATCAACAGTGACACGTCTCATACCCTTAGTCCCATAGTAAGAGTCAGGGCCCTGGAAGGTAGCGGACGCTGTGTAAATAGTATTGGGGATGATTTCCATGGGCTCCTTGAACATCAGCCGATACGTGTAGCTAGACCCGTCGCAACTGAAATTCGTTGAGTTAGTGGCTATCACTTTTCCGGACGCCGTGTGTATCAACTCTATGAGAACTTCGTATTCGGCGGGGCCGTGGACACTCCCATAGACCCCATAGCCAACCAGGAATATTCGTCTGTCCGTGCAGAATCGAATGCGATCACTGGTGCCACTGTATCCCCATCTGGCATCAGTTTGCTGAAATCTACAGACTGTCAACTCTTTCCCCATCATTCGGCATCTGGGCATCGCCTCAAAACCAACTGATGGCTTTGGATTCACCGTGAAGTAGAGGAACAGAGAGACAACTTCTCGATCGGTCAGCAGTCCACATTGTGCTGGACCCATAGCAAATTCCTCGACGGACATTAGGGGGAAGCGAACGAGGGAGAGGGCCCTTCCCAGGACTGACCTTTGGTTTTCAGGGGTCACTGGCAGTTGTTGTCTTTGACATTCAGCCTCGGACCATCTGAAAGGTGTTGTAATGAATCCGATAAGTTCTCGTGAATAAACGATGAGGAAATGCACAGAGAGGACGAGGGGAAGTGAACCTTTTGGTTTTGTTTTTTGCATTACTGCTTTACCTCGTTTCATTTTTACTCATTCTCTCTTATAAAAGCCATTTCTCAATCCACCCACCGATTTTTTTAAAGGTCTCTCAAAACGCTGGACTTTTATACTTATTAGAAGTACTCTCTGTGAATTTTTCTAATCTCATTCTTTCTAAAATGAAAAATTAATTTGACAAGGTCAGTTGAAAATCTCATTTTTCGATCCGAGATTTTTGTTCTCTCGACGAGATATTTTTTTCTGAATTTTAGGAGTACAGAATGTACAGATTTTTTTCTGAATTTTTGGAGATCTTGGAAAAAATGTATGAATGAGCTTGAAAATTTGTGGTAGCGAAATTGGTAAAAGCATGAGCTCAGTAATCTGAAGGTTGTGAGTTCAAATCCCGCCTGGCCCATACCCCATTTTTTTAGTCCCATGTATAGGCTGATTAGTGCCGTGTAAATAGGCTCTGAAATTTCTATGGTAGCTCAATTCAGTAGCGAAGTGGTAAAACGGTACAAGTCAATTTCGACTATTGACCAGTTTTCAATGAATATTTCGGAATCCAAGGGAGATTTTTGAGCAAGAGCAAAATTTTTGTTATAACCTTTTTTGTAGAGCCGATTGAGAGCTGCAACAAATGTAGTGACGAAAATTTCGCTATCTCCCTTAGATTCGGAAACATTCCTCAAAAACAACTGGGAGATGAGTCGACTTAAAGCGTTTTACCACTTTGCTACTGAATTGGTAAGAAAATTAGCTCAGTAATCTGAAGGTTGTGAGTTCAAATCCTACCCGTCCCCTGCCTCCAATTATCCATTCAATCACCTGACAACAGCCTGAAAAATCTTCGACTCCCGAATCCTCAGAGTATCCCTCTCCAACACCACCATAAGTGTATCAATATCAATATCGGCAAATCCATCAGCATTGAGGGCATCCTTGGTAAACTTATCAATAGTATCCAGACACACAGAAGCTAACTGTGGCTCGTCAAACAGTCTAGCCTGCGTCAGCAGCAGAAAAGCGTTATCACTCGTCAAATGACTTCTCAAAAAATCAACGCAGTGTTTTTCTAACGGTGATACCGCATACTTCTTAGCGGTATAGAGAGTAGTCATGACGGTTTCCGGATCGATTTGTATTTCATCGGTGTACAGGAATAACAGAACAGCTAGGAAAGCCGTGGGCTCGACATCAGGCACTTCGATCTCCGCTGAGGCTGTGGCCAGTGTTCCATTGAACATTGCGTCAAAGACAGCACTTCCTGATGACAGGACCAACTTATGAGCGGGAATTCGTTGCTGTTGGGCCCCCCTGCCAACCAGAAACCTCACGTCTGAGAGAATTTCGTTGTTAAATAAAAAGGCAAATCTCTCCTTCATCGTTGTTTTGCTTCCCTGCCAGTTATACAATTGGGATGAAGGTCTGTGCTGACCTTGCTCTTGAGGCGGTGTTCGAGGTTGTGCTGGATCATCTGGAGAATTGTCACCCGAGGATCTTGCTTCCAGGTGAAGGGTATTCGCTGAATTACTGGGAAGGCTGCAAATATCGACAGATTAATTTGTGTAACCTTAAGGATATCCAAGTACTTTGGCTATTTTTTCTTCAGTAAAATGCTTTTCTACTTTTGTGGTCGAATATCAGAGCTTTCATTTCACCTTAAGTTTCTGGAAATTTAACAATGATTTGATTATTTAAACCTTGCAGGTCATAATTTAAATCTTGATTTTGAAAGGTTAGAAAACATTTCAGAAATCTGAAAAAAATGAAAAGTTTACGTTTGGAAGATTGATGAAATAATTGAAAAATTGCAATTTTTTACATTCCGAGCATTTTCTACAAATAATTTATAAACAATCAATTTTCCACCATAAAAATCATTTGTTCGGAATTGTAGCAAATTTATTCATGTTCAGAATTTTACCGGAAATCGACAAATTTTATGATTGAAAATGGTTGCACGTATGAAAAAACTAAATAGAAAACCTAGCGAATTCGCTAGAAAATTCTATTGTAATTCTATAGCAATTCTATGGGGTTTCTATAGAATTTGTATTGGAATTCTATTGAAAAATTCAATTCGTTTTTTGCGCTGATTCTATTGGATATTCGATAAAAAAGTCAATAGACTTCGAATTTCTGTTTGAATTTTTCTCTAGTTTTTTTCTACTTTTCTATGCTGGGGCATCAACTTTCCAAGTTTTTTCCACTCGGACTCTGCAATGCGAAACAAAGCAAAATTCAGCGGAAAAAACTTAGAAAATTTGTGCCCAATAATTCTAATAGAAATAATCAACGAGAAAAATTTCAACAGAAATTGAAAATCTGTTCGGAATCTAGTCGACTTTTTCTTATTAAATATCCAATAGAATCAGCGCAAAAAAAAACAAATAGAATTTCTCAATAGAATTCCAATAAAAATCCTATGAAAAGCCCATAGAATTCCTATAGAATTCCAACAGAATTTTCTAGCGAATTCGCTAGGTTCTCTGTTGAATTTTTTCGTGTGTGTGAATTTATACTGTGGTCAGTGCAAAACTGTAACAGATACTTGGGCATCCTTAAGAAGTAAGGAAGGGCAACGTTTCCTCAAAATTTTTAACAAATTTCCTGCTCGAAGTTATTAGTATGTTACCAACACGAAGCACATTGGTCTTCGCCATCACCTCCTGGAGATTAATGTGCTTCGATTTGCAAGAATATTAATAACTTTCGCCAGGAAATTTCTTCAAAAAATCATAAAATTAGCGGCATTCTGCTGCCCTTTAATGGTTAAAATTCATGGTTTACTGACTGGTCACGAGAGGATGTCGATGGCTCATTGGGGCGGTTCAATATCCCCAGTGACTGCTCCTCGTCCAGGGAAAATGTCAAAGCCCTTCTCGCATTTGAAAATGTAATATTTCCAATGTTCTGCATGTTCTGAGGTGATGACGTTACGATCCTCTCTGCTGGGCCGTCTTGAATATCATTTGGTAGCAACCTAACTTGCTGCAATCTTCCTGAGATATTGGCACTATCGTCTGAAGCCATTCTGCGATCCAGGTGATGAAGAATGAGGTAATGTTCCAATAAAAAATTCCAAATTGATGTTCTGTCGTGATGAGAAACATGTCAATTTTTATTTGCAAAATGTTTTTTTAAAAAATTGTTATGGGCTGAAAATCAGGGTTGTTTTTTGAGAGAAATTTGCTATTACCTTTTCTATGTTGTGATGTTCTGCATAATTAGGTTCATTCCCATCAATTTTCACATTGATATCGTATTTTTTACAAATAAATGCATGATTTAATGTTTACGTTCCTTTGTCATAACCTTGGGACAATGGCAATCACATACTTGACAGGCGTAGAATTTTCCCCGAATCGACGGATTGAGATGATTCTGAGGGTGGGTTTGTTGCGGAGAAGGGTTTATGTCACTGTGGGATGGACTCGGGATCGTTATGATGAGGTTTTCTGGTAATTGAACGAATTATTGTGATCTTTGTCGAACGCCATGAGCGCCGACTCGATACGAATAACGAGATTATAGGGAATGTAGGGTGCGCAGAATGAGGAAAATAAAAAGTACTAGATCAGATACCCTAAGATATATTACCGACGTAGGGTAAGTTTGGAAACCCCAGGGTAAATTGCTGAGAGAAAGGCGGCAAATCGGACATTTGAAAGTTCCAATAAACCATAAGCATTTTGAAAAACCTTGCCAATTCGGTAGAAAATTCTATTGAAAAATTCCGCATCTTATCTGCATGTTTTTTTTACTAGAAATGTTCAAATTCTATACAACTTATTCTATTGAGATATTTTGGGTAAGATTTACTCGGTTCAATCCCCATTTTTTCGCGCGTGAGTATAAAAATAAACAACGATTTCTGATCGATATTAATATTTATAATATTTTGTAGTTATTTTTTTTGTTTGTAAAAATCATATGCAGATTGACTTTACAATTGTAATCGCTCAATAAGAGCTTAAGCTCAGTAATCTGAAGGTTGTGAGTTCAAATCCCGCCTGATGCATGCCATTATCCCAAAAATTCCATTCGAAAACGAGAATCAGTTGCAGCAGTAAAAATGATTTTTATGCCGGCTCAATACAATTAATAATTCATCATTATTATAGAATCATGATTAATTGCTAATGCAGACGCCCCTGACACATCGTCCACCATTGAAACTTCCTCGAAGAGCGCAGCTCTTGGTACAGCCCAAATTGCCGAAAAGGCAGCTCAGTACTTGGCGACGCTCACGAGAATGATGATGATGATCAGCGGGAATGAGAGACGAGTTATTATTCTTCGACATGACTTCTTTTTCTTCAATTTTGATGGCACTGACTAATACTAATATATCTTGAGGCCGTTTCGATGTGACTTGATTACGGTCGACTCTCCCTAGCTTCCCGGGCGCCAACGAGTGGTGATATAAAAAATAAAATATAAAAATGTAATATGCTTTGCTATTTTCTAGTGCTACTCTGTACAGTGTTTCAGAGTTTGTGTCTTTCTGGATAGAGCGAGCACGTGTTACGACTTCTTTGCGAGTGTGAGTGCGGGCTGTGTTTTTGAGCGGGTAATCGTTTCATTATTTCAGTAGCGAATCGGTAAACCAGGTTAAGTCAATTTTGACTTTTGGCTAGTTTTTGATGAATATCTTGGAATCTAGGAGGGATAGCAAAATTTTTCTCACGACCTTGTTTGAAACACAGCAAATAGGTCATTATCTAAAGTTACCGAGCTCAACAGAAAATCTCGATCGACTTCGAGACCCTTCGGGTTCACGGACAAATCACGAAGCAAATCGCCAAATATGAAATTTCAGTAGTATCAATCTACTCCTCAAAGGGTATACATCGGTTAGTCAGAGAGTCACCTCAATCTGTCATGCAATTCAATAATACGTTAACCCAACAACAACAAAGATCTTGAATCATCGAGACGCCAAACTAATTTTTAATCCTAATATATTTAATCATTCATAATCATCATAATAATCATAATGATGATGCACAACACATTGGAATGTTACAATAATATAATCGTCGAAGAGAATTTCATTCAGTTGCGACAGTTGCAGACTCCTTTTTCGCACCATCCGCCCCTCTTCCCTTGCACAATGCAGCGAGCAGAGCAACCACTGTCACCCAGACCCAGAAGATCGCAGATTACTCGGGTCTGACGGACATGATCCACAACTGGATCAGCGTCAGCATGAGCTAAAATACGGAATTATAACTCTGATTATTGAAATGCAGAAAATTGTTTGGATTTTACCATTCGTCGAAATGGCACGTGCAAGAAAATTTCATAGAAGAACCTACCCGATCTAATACTCATATTCTAGGAGGATTATATTTTATGAAATGAAAAATGATCTATAAAAAAATCAATGGGATTCGATTTTTCTATACAAGTTACTCTATTGAGATATTTTCTATAGAAATTCCTAGGCTTAAATTTTCCACGTTTTTCTGTTTAATTTTTTTCATGAACTGAGGCAATAGAAGAAGTTTTGTAGAAATATGAAATTCTACTGATTTTATCAATGAAAAAAAACGCGCAGAAAAGCTGAAGGAATTCATACAATTTCCAATAAAAGTTTAATAAAAATCCAATGTCCTATCAAACTCGCTAGAGCTTTCTATTGAATTTATTTTGTACATAAGAAATTGAAAATTCATTAACCAGAAATTCTCTTGATTTTATAATTTCTTTTTCAAACGCGCGGAGAAGCTAACGAAATTCGTCCATAGAATCAGTCAAGAACTAACAGAATTTCCAAAAGAATTTGATTTAAAATCCAATGGAATGCCCTACAGAACTCGCTAGAGCTTTCTATTGAATTTTTTTCGTACACGAGAAATTGAAAATTCATTACCCAGTATAAAACCTGAAATTCTCTTGATTTTATAATTTCTTTTTCAAACGCGCGGAAAAGCTGAAGAAATTCGTCCATAGAATCAGTCAAGAACTAACAGAATTTCCAAAAAAATTTGATTTAAAATCCAATGGAATGCCCTACCCTAGTGGAAAAACCTAAGGCAGAGGTGTAACATGCCTGATCAGAATTTCGGATCGGACTTGATCAGTTTCTGATCGAGACCTGAACAGAATTTCCACTCGGGTATGAGTCAATTTGAGAGTGAAATTCGTGAGTGCTCTGGTAGCTCAGATGGTAAGAGCACCCGACGCGACATTGGGAGGTCCCGGGTTCAATTCCCGGCTAGGANCCGAACTCGCTAGAGCTTTCTATTGAATTTATTTTGTACATAAGAACTTGAAAATTCATTACCCAGAAATTCTCTTGATTTTATAATTTCTTTTTCAAACGCGCGGAAAAGCTGAAGAAATTCGCCAATAGAATCAGTCAAGAACTAATAGAATTTCCAATAGAATTTGAATAAAAATCAAGTAGAATGTCCTATCGAACTCGCTAGAGCTTTCTATAGAATTTTTGCACTCATGAAAAATGAAAAATTCGTTACCCGGGGTTGAGGCGACAATGAAGAAGACAGCCACCGCCACAATAAGAGAGAAGCTGATGAACTTTGCCATTATGCACAACTGTTGGTTTCACTGTCTCCAGATTGACTTTGTGAATTGTAACTGAATGGTGAGATCTTCTAGATCCAGTCTTATATAGGGACCGGCATCATTAGCGGGGAAGTACCGTGGAAGAAGCGAGAGCCTGTCCACAGTCATATTTGCAAGCGATGATTCAATAGCGCTGTCATCCTTCGCGATAAGATCACTGTTACGTTTTCTCTGTCAAGGGAAATAAGCAAGTGGAAGACAGTAATGGGATTCCACGTTCGATAATTTTTTTCTTCGAACTGTATTGCCAGTCTCCATTGCGCGGGAAAACAACACAACTAGTTATGATTTTTGTTGGAATATTCAAGCAGAGCTCTTTCATTATTGTACAAGAGCTACTCGACAACGATTTGTGATACACTGGGAAAACAGTTCTAGACAAGGACGAATTTACGATCCGTTGTGCTCTGCACTGGAGAGTAGTTCAATCCTAAACACATACTGAAATTTGAAGAAGGACTGTGTCTTCTTGAGTCGTACAACTTTATTATTTTTGTTTTCGTTTTCCCAGTGAGAGTTTTCACTTGGCTATTGCTTTTAGTCTCAGGGCAAACGGAGAGAAATGTTCAGTTAAAATTACGGAACTCACAATTAACTCACCGATTACGGAATCGACTCAGAAAATTCAAGTGACGGTATCGTAATTTTTTACAGGAGATTCAGATAAAAATTACGGAACGCTCCGGAAAAATTCCGTGACAGTTCCGTAAAATTTTCTACACAAACCACATTTCACTCCGGAATTACGGAAAAGATACGTAATTTTTATTGAATATTTCTCTCCGTGCAGCGGTTCTCTAGTACAGGCGTGCCTTCCTCTGGCAAGTAAAGAGATTTTAATAAAGTATATCATTGTTTTGCCATATTTATTTCTTCATTTGCAACCATATTCCATTAATTTTCATAATTTTTACATACATTTAATTATTTGCAACGATTATCATAATTATTGAGTATCATAACAATGAATTATTATCGAATACATCAGAATTACCAATTGTTAGTGTTAATATCTACAGGTTCAGGTGCAAACAGTTAATTTAGAAAATAATAATTATTCGTAGACAATTGCAGACTCCGTTCTCGCACCATCCCCCGGATTTTCCTTGTATTATGCACCGTGCGGCGCAGGGACTGTCCCCATCAGCCCAAACAGATCGCAAGTGACTCGTGCGAGGGACTACTCACTCCATAATTGAGTGACACCTTGATTTCGAAATGAAGTCGATGTCGGATGATTTCAGCGGGGATTTCAGTGATTTCGGAAAAAATGATGTTGGGTGATTTCGAGCATCACGGAAAGCGATTTCATGATTTCATTAATTCGAAATCAGTGATTTCAGACAAATAATGTTAATAAATAATAGAGGTAGAGCAAAACGGTTTGTTTCAAATTATGAAAATCAAAACTAGAAATATTAACTGGCAAATAATAACGAGTTCGTTTGATTCTACTCTGCGAATCTTGAGCTAATCTTGAATCACTTTACTATGGCAGTGGGTACCGCATTTTATTAACATTGTTGGCAGGTGCGTCAATTTCAAAATCACGAATTACTTGCACGGTTCGTGCTACGCCAATGCGCCACTAATTTCGGTGATTTCATTGATTTCAGACGATTTCACGTGATTTCGGAGGTGATTTCGAAAATGATTTCGGAGAGCTGAAGTCACTTGTTTTCAGTGATTTCGCTGATTTCACGTGATTTCGGAATGATTTCCTGCCAGAGTGGCACCGTGATTTCGGAAGTGAGTACTGGTATGAAAAAATCGTATAGAAATTTTCTATACGGATTGCGTATAGAATTTCTACAGGATTTTCGTATATGATATTCGGATATTTCTATACGGATATTTCTCCACGATTCAAACGATTTCTATAGATTTGATCCTATCGACCCACTGCCCCATGTATAGAAACATTCCGTATGGAGTTGCGACATTTCTCTACGTTTATCTCTAGAGCGTTTAGACATCTTTCGTATGATAACAAAAATTTGTGTGAAAATTCATGTACAGAAACAATTTGTATAGAAAATATTCGTATAAAAATATCCGAATATCATATTTCTATACGCAATCCATATAGAAAATTTCTATACGATTTTTTCATACGTGATAGCCCCTCAGACTCGTGTGAAGCGGAGATGATCTGAATATGCAAAATCATCTCCATTTACTGAAATTGAAAGGGAACACTTCTTTACATTTTCGTCATTGTTTTGAAGTCCAATAGAATTTTCTATTAATTTTTGCCCAATTCTATTAAAAGATTAAGCAGAAAATATCGATAGAAAATTTCAATAGAATTAGATTTTTCTATACAAATTATTCTATTGACATATTTTTTATAGAATTTCCTCGGTGCCAATTTTTCAAGTTTTTTTGTGTTTTTTTCTTGATGAGAAGAAGAGAAATTTGTAAAATTCATGAAATTTCACAGATGTTTCCTGTAAAATCATTTCTACTGGACTTTTGTAGAATCTCCAATAACTACTAGAATTTTCTATCGAGTTTGCCAAGTTTTTCTATCATCATGATTTTTTAATCAGAAAATTGATTATAATTTTTTTACTATCGGTTGTGAATATTGTTGCGTATTTGTTCTTTCCTTCCTCTCAACTATCTTCATGTTCGCTCGTCTCTTTCGATTCCGTTATGCTTTTATCTTTGTCTTTAGTTCACGGACATGTCCTGTCGCTGTTATATCTTTTTATTTATTTATTTCGCCCCAATCTTTTAATAAACATTTTAATTTAATTATAAATTTGTCTTCATTTAACAATATCATCAAGACGACACCCACCACCAGATAAATGGAAGACGGAATTGAATTCATCGTAATTAATGATAATGAATAATCAATGATTGCTGACACTTGGATTTTTTTTTCAATGGATAATGACCTCTTGGCAATGGGGCCTTGTATAGAAGTATAACTAGACTCGGGGAAGTACACTGAATGAGGAAATGTTTATAAATGCTAGAATAACATTATCGATGGATAATAAATTAACAGAACCGTTATTTCCTATGACAAGAATTAACCTGCAGTTTTACAAGTGCATTGAAACCTAATGGATCGATCGATTTTTAGTCTATAAAAATAAAAATTGGTCGTTTAAGAAATCAAAAAAATCTGAATTAAATAGTATTCAGTTATTATGATTTTTGAATCAAGATTTTATTCATCATATCATTCTTACAGACATAATAATAACAAAAATGAGGACATGAACTCAATTGTGTCAACGATTCCTGATAGGATTGCCAGCTTTCGTAATAATAGCGATGAAAAACATTTTAAACACCATCCACTTGTCTGTCTGGGGGTTTGAGGCAAAGTATACACCCGAGATTATTTCCATTCCTATCCGTCGTGGTATCCGCTGCGGGAGAAAATTATTTTTAGTAAGCAAAGTCACGATTTTCACACGGAGAGAAATTTAAAAAAGGCGGCACGACTTTTCAACTAGGCGACATTTCAACTACGACATTTCAACTGAAATTTTCAACTACAACATATCAACTAGTTTCTGTAAAATTACTATATTTTTAGGAATCAGCGGAATTTTTTTTAATTTTCTTTTTTTTTTATTCTTCGCTTTTCAACAGACAACGTAATGCAACTCAATTTAACCACTGAACTAATACATTAATGATTAATATCATACAAAGATTCAATTTGTTTTTATATTAACAATTACAAAAGATCAATAATTTAGTATTAACAGTTGTTTACTTTTTTAAAGATTTTCGATGCTTCTTTTTCAAAGGCTGTTTTCCATTTTATTTTGAGTTGCATTGAGCGATTTCGCGCGGATTCTGAACAGTTAAAAAGATATGGATTCTTTAAAAAAAATTCTCAAGTGTTAAAATATTGATATGAAATTTCCACATAAGTCCCTAGACATTTTACCCCAATTCATGGGGTAAAATATCTGGGAAAAATGTTTGGGGAAAATTTTTTTATCGGAAATTTCTATAAATTTTGGGAGAAATGACATTAAGGATAATCGGGCGAGAAGGAAATGTAGGAGGTGAGGCGGAGGGGTTTCTCTTGTTTTCCTGCAGAAAACCAATCGCTGAACAAAAAAATTTTTCCCATTCGGATTCAAAATTCAGGCAATATTAGGGAGTATCTCCGGTTAAAAATTATTTTTGGAGCTAATCAAATTTATTTGTATCTGTTCCACGTATTGAATGGTTTTCAGATTGTTTTTTTTTTAATAAATGAAAAAATATTAATCCATGCGAAAAAGTGGTAACATCGTCGGTAGTGTTTTTCTTTTTCACCAGGAGCTGGTACCAGTGGCTCAAGGGAGCTCCAATCACAACGCTTCATCGCTCTTTCTCAAGAGACGTTTAAATTGACCGCGCTACCCCCACCCGATCGGTACTTGAGACGTTGCTG